CCCTTTTGAACTTCTACCCCTTTCTAATGGAGTGTGCATTGAAAAATCAGCTATGGAGAGAGGAACCACAAACTTGGACAGTAGTTCTAATGCTCTAAAGCTGTGCAAAACTGGGAAGGAACCAACTTTCCTCACCTTTCTGACTCTCTTAGGTGGTGGGCCTGAGTCTCTAATGAAGGTGATTCTCCCAACCTTGAAGTCACGGTTGGGGATGCCTCTGGAAAAGAAGCATCATCATATCATGAAAGAAGGCATTTGATACCTGCCCTCCAGCAGAACCCCAAAAGAAACCCCAAACCTCCTCTCAGACCCTGATCCTTCACTTGATGACAACTGAAGGAAATGGACATACCTTTGAATGTGTCCTGGCGATGGGCTTGGCTCAACACCCTCCTGCTTGCCATCCAGTCTGTACCCGGGACCAGAGAAGGCCTGTGGAGACATGAGGAGTTTTGGCTGAACCAGAGCTTGTGTTTGAAAGCACCCTGCCCAGGGGTGCCATGTTCTGTAAACCTTTCTATGGCTTTTATTCAGGTCTCTGATTCAGCATGTTAATTGTTAGTAGCTGTAAGGAGCTGGTGAGCACTGGGTGTGGGCATGGTTCAGACTTTTGTCTCTAGGCTGCCCTTTCAGACCCCTCCTGGTTCTAGGCACCACAAACGGTTCTAGGCACCACAAAACATCTGCAGTACTTGCCAGCTAAGTAAGGAACACCTCTGAGGTATTAGCACTTTGTAGTTATTTGGAACAACTTTCCCTCACTGTCTTACAACATTCCAAAAATGACGGAAGAAGGGGACTTACACGAAATCCTGCAGCACTCCCATACCCCCTGTGGCCTGGTTTAACATCCTGAGAGGGAAAAAAACATACATTGTGTTTGTAAGGTGGTACGCAGAACACATGAAAAGAGTTCTACGTATTTCTGACCAAACAAAAGGAGAATAATCAGCAGTTGGGAAGCAACTACCTTCTCAGCAGCAGCAGCAAAAGCATCTGGAAAGTGAAGGTCAGTCTTAAGAAATTGTTTCAGGAAAAAAAGTCCTGTGCCTGGGTCTGGCCGTTCCCAGGAACAGCTACACACTGGGTGCAGAACTGGTTGAGAGTAACCCTGAAGAAGATTTGGGGTTGTTGATTGATGAGATGCTCAACATGAGCCAGCAGCGTGCCCACGCAACCCAGAAGGCCCACCGTGTCCTGGGATGCATCAGGAGGGGTGTGGCCAGCAGATCAAGAGAAGTGGTTCTCTCCCTTAACTTTGCTTTTGTCAGACCCCATGTGCATCCCCTTCTGGTGTTCCCACCATAAAAGGGACGAGTCCGGAGGAGGGCCACAAAGATGGTGCAGGGGCTAGAGCATCTCTGCTCTGAGGATAGGCTGAGGGCACTGGGATTGTTCAACCTGGAGAAGAGAAGACTCTGGGGGTCCTAAAGAACTGCCTTTCAGTACCTGATGGGAACCTGCAGGAAGGCTGGAGAGGGACTTTTCACAAGAGTGTCCAACGAAAGGACAAGGGGAAATGGTCTTCAACTGAAAGTTAAAAAATCTAGTCTAGGTTTAGACTAGATCTTAGGAAGAAGTTCTTCAGTAAAAGGGTGGCCAGTCTCTGGACTAGATTGCCCAGAGAGGTTGCGTATGCCACCTC